ATGTATGTGCAAAATGGAAACATCAATGAAAAGGTAGAAAACTCAAAACAAAATTCTGGAGCTGAAAATTACAATAACTGAAATGAAAAATTCAGTATAAGGAATCAAAGGCAACTTTGAGCAGAGACAAGAAATAATCAATGAACTTGATACAAAAAGAAATGATTGAAGAAAAATAAAGAGAACCTGAGAGCCCTGTGGGGCATCATCAAGTGGACAAACACACATATTATAAGAGTCCCAGAAAGAGAAGAGAGAGGTGAAAAAAGAATATTTGAGAAAATAATGGTTGATACTTTCCAAATTTAATTATATCCAGGAAGCTCAATAAACTCCCAGAAAGATTAATTCAAAGGTGCCCACACCAAGACCCATTATAATCAAACTTTTGAAATATAGAGACAGATATACATTTGAAAATATCAAGAGAGAAGTGGCTTGTCATTTGTAAGGGATCCTAAATAAGGTGATAAGCAGACTTCTGATCAGAAACTTTGGAGGTCAGAAGGCAATGAGTTGATATAATCAAAGTGCTAAACCAAGAATCCTATAAACAGAAAAACTGTTCTTCAAGAGAGAGGCAAACAATAAAAGACTCTTAACTATATGAAGAAACAAAGTGAGAGTTGCTGGAGGGGAGGTGTGTGGGGAGACGGGGTAACTGGCTGATGGGCATTAAGGAGGACACTTGATGTAATAAGCACTGGGTGTTATTTATAACTGATGAATCACTAAATTCTACCCTGGAAACTAATAATACACTATAAGTTAATTAAATTGAATTTGAATAAAAATTTTTTTTAAAAGTGAAGGAAGGGGCAGCCCCGCTGACGCAGTGGTTTGGCGATGCCTGCAGCCCGAGATATGATCCTGGGGACCAGGGATCTAGTCCCATGTTGGGCCCCCTGCGTGGAGCCTGCTTCTCCCTCTGTCTGTGCCTCTGCCTCTCTCTTTCTCTCTCTGTCTTTCTCTGTGTCTCTATGAATAAATAAATAAAATCTTAAAAAAAAAGTGGGGGAAAAATTAAGATACTCTCCCAAAAAACAAAAGTTTAGGAATTTGTTACCATTATAGCTGCCTTACAAGAAATGCTCAAGGAAGTCGTGCAGGTTGAAATGAAAGGACACTAGATGGTAACTTAAAGCCTTGTGAAGAAATAAATATCTCAATAAAGCTAAGTACATAGGCAATTATAAAAGTTAGTATTATTGTAATGATGGTATATAATTCCACTTTTTGTTTTCTACATGATCTAAGAGACTAATATATTACAAAATTTATTAGTCTAAAAGCTAGTATTATTGTAACTTTGGTTTGTAACTCCATGTTTCATTTTTTACATAATGTAAGAGACTAATGCCTTTATGAACCTAATGCCAGACCATCAAAATATGTGAAGTAAAAGCTGATAGAACTGAAAGAGGAAGAAGATAGTTTTGCAATAATAGTTGGAGATTTCAGTACTGCACTCTCAATAATAAAACAATCAGAAAGAAATTAAGTAGAGAAACAGAGGACCTAAACAATACAATAAATCAATAAGATCTAACAGACACATTCAGAACACTCTACCCAACAATGACAGCATGTGCATTTTTCTCAAGTGCACAGAGGACATTCCCCTGGGTAGACCTAATGACAGCTCACAGGTTAAGTCTCAATAGATTTTAAAAGATGGATATTATACAAAGTATCTTCTCCAACCACAAAAGACATGAACAGAAATTTCACAGAGGAAGACATAGACATGGCCAACAAGCACATGAGAAAATGCTCCGCATCATTTGCCATCAGGGAAATACAAATCAAAATCACAATGAGATACCACCTCACACCAGTGAGAATGGGGAAAATTAACAAGACAGGAAACAACAAATGTTGGAGAGGGTGTGGAGAAAGGGGAACCCTCTTGCACTGTGGGTAGGACTGTGAACTGTATAGCTACTCTGGAAAACTGTGTGGAGGTTCCTCAAAGAGTTAAAAATAGAACTACCCTACGACCCAGCAATTGCACTGCTGGGGATTTACCCCAAAGATACAGATGCAGTGAAACGGCAGGACACCTGCACCCCAATGTTTATAGCAGCAATGTCCACAATAGCCAAACTGTGGAAGGAACCCCCATGTCCATTGAAAGATGAATGGATAAAGAAGCTGTGGTATATGTATACAATGGAATATTATTCAGCCATTAGAAATGGCAAATACCCACCATTTGCTTCGACGTGGATGGAACTGGAGGGTATTATGCTGAGTGAAGTCAGAAGAAGGACAAAATTATATGGTCTCATTCATTTGGGGAATATAAAAAATAGTGAAAGGGAATAAAGGGGAAAGGAGAGAAAATGAGTGGGAAATGTCAGAGAGGGTGATAGAACATGAGAGACCCCTAACTCTGGGAAACGAACAAGGGGTGGTGGAAAGGGAGGTGGGTGGGAGGTTGGGGTGACTGAGTGACAGGTACTGAGGGGGGCACTTGATGGCTTGAGCACTGGGTGTTATGCTATATGTGGGCATATTGAACTCCAATAAAAAATATATATACATAAAAAAAGATGAGGTTAGATATCAGTAACAGAAAAACTGGAAATTTTGTAAATTTGTGGGAATTAAGCAACACACTTTTAAACAATGAATGGATCAAAACAATTCACAAGAGAAATGAAAAATACTTAAAGGTGAATGAAAACAAAAGTGCAATGTACCAGAACTTAATGGAATGTAGAGAAAGCAGTACGAAGGGGAGAATTTACATGTTAAGAGAATATCAGCAGAGTAAAAAGGCAACCCACAGAATTGGAGAAAATATTCATAAATTATATATGTGATAAGGGATTAATATGAAGAATATATAGAGAATTCCTAAAACTCAACAACAAAAATCAAACAATGTGATTTTAAAATGGGCAAAAGGCTTGAATAGGTATTTCTCTCCAAAAGGTATACAGTATATAGATGGCTAAGCACATGAAAAAGATCACTCAATATCATTAGTCATTAGGGAAATGAAAATCAAAACTAAACCATCTTCTACCCATTAGTATCCACTGTAATATTAAAAAAATGGAAAATACCAAGTGTTATTACCTTACCTGCATACTGGTAGGATCCTGACCCTAAACTGTCTCAGTCCTCTCAGGGATTTGGGGAGGCCCTAAGGAGTCTCTCATAGGTCATAATTGAGTCTTTTAGCCTCTATTTCCAGTGCTGAAAGTCACTTGAAAACCTTGCCTACCACTGCTCCAGAGCTCATGCCTGAAAGAAGAAATCTTCAGTCCTGTCCAGGGAACTGTCTCCCAGAGTGACAGGGGGTACCTCATCAGTTTGCTTGGAACCACCATGGATCTACACATATCCGTGTATACAGATATATCGTTGGGTGTGGGTATATGCAAACTAATAGTACACACTCTCCTTGAAGAGCCAGTCCTCTAGCTGTTGGCTTCTTTTATATAATGAGTATCATTCTGATATGTAACCATCCATATTCTTGCTCACCCATATATTTATTTATGGTGTTGTGAAACTGCATGAACACTTGTCTGGAATGGAGGAAGCTCTGTTTTGACCAGATAATTATGCCTGTTGAGTTCCTGGGTTTTCATTGGAGGGACAGTGAATTTTCTCACAGTTGTAGGTGGGCAAGAATACATTGCATTTTGATGAAGGAGAGGGTTAATTATTTGACTTATCACTTGAGTTTCCAGGATGTTTGTCTGAAGGCAGAAGACATGTCTTATTAAAAAGATACATTGGTGAGAAAAAGAAAAGGAAGAAGGAAGGTATAAAGTAAGAAGGAAGGAAGGCGAAAAGTCCATCTGTTAGTCCAAATCCATTGTAGCCACTGGAAAAATTAGCCAAGTCCCATGTCATGCCAGTAGAGGGTCACCAGGGTCATTGTCTTTGCATTCAGGGTGATTTTGCTGCTCCTACTACTACCACCTCTACTGTCACCCTCTAGTCCTCCTCCTCGTGTAGCTGCAACTTCTGTCATTATTTGTATTGCATTCCAGATTTATGCTAAATGAATCAAATAATCCAAAAATTTGTTTAAGTCACACATTGTTAAACATGCATTTGGAATGATTTCCTGCGAAAGCCTGTGTGCAGAATACAAATATTTTGAATGGACTTATCTTTGAGTTGTACTGCCTTTTTCACTTGTCACTTTAAAACCCTTAATATGAATAAATTGTTTGTACAGTGGGCTTTTTTTAATCCTTAGATAAGAAATACATGGTTTGAAAGCAGAGAATAAAAACATGAATGATAATGCACGCAATGCCCAGGAAAGGTCCTTGCTGCTGCTCATGGGCAGGCGTTATAATCAGCTATTTGGCGTGTTTATTTCAGGCTGCAGATAGTGGATAAAAGTGGCTGGTTGGTTGCCAGCACATGACTTAGTTGCTAAATGGAGTGTTTAGTACTTGCTGCATTTGATTTATATCACAAGTTCTTCCCATTAACAGTCTACTGAAGATAACCTACTTGGCTTTTCATGTGGTTACTTTGAAATAGCCACTTGACAACATTTGGCATATCAGAAAGTTTAATACCAAATAAAGGAGTGACTGAATAACTACATAGATTCTGCCATATATTGATATGGTGCTTGATGCAGAATGGGCGCCTAATTAATATGTCTTTTCACTGAATGAATAGATCCTGCATATGTATTTCTCTGATTCACTATATGAAGATTAGATTATGGATTGTTCTGGTAGGAGGAATAGAAATAGGTAGAAATAACAGTGTTTACATGTCTGACAGGCTTATATTTTATGGAAGGAGATGGTCTACTCATCTGTATCACCATTTAAATATGAAGTTGATTACATGGAAGGATGAGGTCTCATCAAGATGATTCTAAGTTAGTGTAACCTCAATGCTGACAATGCCCATAAGCTAAGGTATATTTTTCAACAACAGGTCCTCCTCAGGAATCTTGGCCTTGGATATTTAATAAAATATGCATTGAATATGGTGATCTTTATTTTCAGATTGAAAACTTGCAAGAACAACTTAGGGATAAAGATAAACAACTAACCAATCTGAAAGACAGAGTCAAGTCCTTGCAGACGGATTCCAGTAATACGGATACTGCGCTAGCAACACTTGAAGAGGCTTTGTCAGAAAAGGTGAGCTTGGGCTAAAAAGTGGGGGATTTAGGGAAACATGGTTGGGAGGAGATGATCTAAATGCATTTAAATGTGCCCGCTTTTCTCCATGGGCTTACACTAAACTCCATCCCAGCTGGACCTCCCACTCTCATGTTAGCCCTCCTCAGTATACTTGGCACATTGAATAAGCCAGGAGAACCTTGAAATGCAAACCAGATCATATCACATTTGGCCCTGGTTAAAAACTTTAACTAGCTTGTTATTGTTCTTAGGTTGATAAAAACTAAAATCCTTAACCTGACCCTTATGGTCTATCCCTTCATCTGATCTGGCTCATATCTGATCAGCTACCTCTCAACCTGTTGGCCTTATTCCTCTCTCCTTCCCATTCTCCCACCTTTTTTCCCTTTCTCCCTCTTATTTTCTCTCCCTCCTTCCCTTTTTCTTCTCTCCTTCCTTTCCTCTACCTTCCCTCTTTTTTCTTCCTCCTCCTTTCTTTCCCAACCTTGTCCCCCATGTCTCTTCCCTCATTCTCTGTATTCTAGCTATGCTGGCCTAGCTTGCTTGCTTTCTTTCTTTCTTTCTTTCTTTCTTTCTTTCTTCTCTTTCTTTCTTCTTTCTTTCTTTCTTTCTTTCTTTCTTTCTTTCTTTCAGATTTTATTTATTCATGAGAGAAAGAGAGAGGCAGAGACATAGACAGAGGGAGAAGCAGGCTCCACGCAGGGAGCCTGATGTGGGATTTGATCCCAGGAGTCCAGGATCACGCCCTGGGCCGAAGGTGGTGCTAAACTTCTGAGCCACCCGGGCTGCCCTGGCCTAGCTTTTCAAGTCCACCATGTTCCTTCCTGCCTTAGACCTTTTGCATACACTATTACCTAGCCTAGAATGTTCTTTACTTCCTGCAGATTTAATTCTTCTTCTTCCGGGAGTTCAGCTTCCTGAAAAGCTGTATTACACAGGAGTCCAGGAGGTAGATTTTGGAGCTAGAATGCATGTCTCTTATATTTGCCATTATCATAGTCTATAAACTGTAGTAATGAGGTCAAGTGGTAGAAGACCTAGGTAGGAGTCAGTCCCAGCCTTGCCATTAACTAACTGGATGACCTTGGCAAATAACTCTCTTTTCTAGCCCTTCAAATTTGTAGAATGGAAGGCATTAGATTAAATGGCCCACAGATTTTTAAAGCCAGTGTATCTTAGAGAAGGCTTCTTTTACTTTGTCAAAATCATCAGGAGGTGCCTGTTGAAAATCTAAATTATTAGGTTCCATCTATACCTACTAAATCATAACCTTGAGGGGCCCTGGGATTCTGAACTTTAGCAAGTTCCTGGAGTGAACATCCAATCATTGTGTAATCCGAGAGCCATTGCACTACATAAAAAAATAGAGATGCTAAAAAGAAGAGCCATAATTTTATGGCTAGATAGAAATTATAACATTATAACTTTAATATTAAATTATAAAGATATAAGATTTTACTTGAAAACTTATAAGAATAAATAAGATGATTTTTCAGGGAAAATATTCTTTTTTGAATTTTCTAGAATTTATTACCAAAACTCTGTGGCAGGTTTTTTTTTTTTTTTTTTTTTTGTAAAATTTTGAATGAGGGAATATTGGTTCAAAGATTATTAATGATTCTGTATCCTGTTTGCAATATTTGAGTGATGCGATGTCAGTACATTAGTACCTCTCAATTTCCTTCTGCAAGTTTACAGAAGTAAACATGTACCATATAATTTTTCCATGTCACAGATTCTTGGGCAAGATTTTATCTTTTTTTTCCCCTGGCCCTATTAAGATTTGATTTATTCTAGTTTAAATCCCAAAATAATTTCCAAATCTGAAATTACTCCTTTCATGTAAGCACTTCCTTTGAGACTGAGGGGTGACTGGGAAGGAAGGCTGAGGTCTGTGGGAGTCTGCCCCCCTCATACTCATGCCACCACTTGACAGTTGTATCACATGGGGCAAGCATCTTCTCTTAGTATCTTATTTCAAAATATACATTTAAATTAGTTGACCTCTAATTGAAACCACCTTGATAATCCATAATCTCAGGCACATGGAATCTGATTTGGGCAATAGATGAGGAGTTGATTAGATAGATACCTTGAGGGGAGAGGCAAAGAACAAAAATAAGGAAAGTAGGTTTGGTGTGAGACAGTAGGGATTGCTGACAACTGTAACAAGCTGCAGAGTCCTTGACCTGCCTCAAACCATTCAAGTTCCTATTTTAAAATATTATGATGCTCAAGCCAAATATGATGTAGGCTGGCTTTGGCCTGTAGGCTCTTAGTTTTCAAGTCTTATTTTGCAATTGACTTTTAGCCTTTCACAGTAATAAAGAATAAAAACAAAACACAAATCAGTTATTTGAAGGCAATTTTCAAAGGGTGCCAAAATTAGAATGTTAATGCATTTGAAAAAGCACAAAGAAAAACATTGGATAGAAACGGGCAAGGTTTTTTTTGTTGTTGTTGTTTTGTTTGTGTGTGTGTGTGTGTGTGTTTTTTTTTTTATCATGGAACAAAGAATAGTAGATTCCTTTTAACTATTCCAGTATCAAACTTTTGTATGTATCCAAATAATCTTATCATCTAGGGAGCTTCTTAAAATGTAGTTTCCTGGGTCTCATTTCCTAGTGATTCTGATTCAATTGCTTTGTGATGGGGCCAAGGAACCTGTGATTTTTAAAAGCATGCCCAATGATTCTGATGAAAGTGGTCAGATGACCACACTTTGAGAAATACCAAACCTATGCTCTTCCATTTTAAAGATGGGACCTGGCCTTAATGAGGTGAAATGACTTGCCCAGAAATGAACATTTTGGACAGATATAGCACCATTCCCCATTCCTGGGTTCTAGGTGGATATCATGGATAGACCATGGTGCATGTTAACTTCTCAACCCAATGATCCAGGAAGCCACTTCTAATCTGTCTAAGTTGGCCCTTTGTTGGGACTTTGTTGCCTCCCCTGGACTATCCCAAGGCTACTCAGCTCACTGGTGATGGAATGGGACTGAAATTCAAACCTTCTGATAATTGTATAATTGTGCTTTTGACAACAACATAATTACCATTAATGACCCTTCCCTCACAAGTTCCAGTTTTATCCACATTTAATTGAACAGATCCCCTGGAACAAGATATGGTACAAAAATTAAAATGATTAATTAAAAATCATGGACTCATAAGAACATCTAATTACTTGCTGTCATTTGGTTGATGAATAGAACCTATTAGGTACTATTCACCATTCCACTTGAATTATGACCTTCTGGGGAGTGTGTTATTCCTTTTAGTTTCTAGGAATATATATACATATTCACAGTGCAAAAAAATAATGCCACTTAGCAAGTCAAGATTGAGTATGACTTAGTTCTAGGATCGACACACAGAAGCTCAAGAGATGGAACCCGCAGTATTTATAAAACTGGTCTCGCCAAGCCTTGCTGTAGCCACATAGCAGATAAGCAGTTGAGAAAGGCAGATAGCAGTGCCGGAGGCCACTGTAATTCAGTTCCCACTCAATGATAAAGCACAAATAGATTAGACCTGTGCAGAGCCAGATGAGTGCACAAGAAACACTTGCCAATGCAAATAAGACTAAAACAAGAACACATTGTTGGAATTTCTGCAAGTTAGTTGTTAATCAAGTAGATCATGGCATATTAGGGCCTTTTAACACATGTTTTTGACATCTGGCCCTGCGTGGCTGACAGTTAAATTAGTTTTGTGATTGACAGAGAAATATTTTGTAGTATTGAATCATCAATAACACTTAAAAACATTATAGTGCTTGCTGATTTTTTTTGTCATCGACACCCAGTCAATAGTACAAGTGCTTAGAGTGAATCAGCCTACTTACCAAATGATTCTGGCACCTTCTGGATGTTAACACACATACTTAATTTTATTTCCCTTCTTTTGAAGCTAAGGCAATGCCTATGTTGAATTCTTATTCCTTCCTTCAGCCTTTGTAATTGCCTGTTGTATGCCAGTTTGCCCAGCCCAGGTTAAAAGAGTCACAGGATTTGAGTGCTGTCCTTTGGAAAGCTAGTCTGGGAGGATGGACATGCAGTAAAACCATATGAAGGGGCTGAGTGGGAATAAATGCCACATGATCCAGCCAGAGCAATTCCTGGGAAATTTCCAAATAGTGAGGTGACATAGTTTGGGCTTAAAAAAAAAAAAAAGTCACTGCAACAGCTCATGTGATGGAAGTGATGGCATGGAGAGGGCCTGGTGGGTAGGTGACCAATTGTGATGTTTTTGCAATGAGTACAAGCATAAAGCAATAAGGGCTCAGTTGCTAAAATTTGTAAAAACCCTTGAGAGACTTCCTGTGCACTGAGGCCATTTTCTCCTTTTGTAGATGGCATAATCATCCAATCACCAGTGTCATGGACAGAGTCAAATAGGACTATAACTAGAATTAAGAAGAAACAAATGTGGGCAATTAGTAGACTGATTTGTTCTGTTTCCACCTCCACTGTTGTAATACTATACTTCATTTCAAAGTGTTTTTAACTAATTGCAAAACAATAACAATATTTCTTTTTTTCCTTGAAAGCATTAGATACATAAATTATTGTCATTGGAGTAGAACATTTGCTTCCCTGGGGGATCTTAAATCATAGGCTAAGTGTTCAAACTAACTTCCCTCTGCATCACATACTGTTTTACATTATCTTATGTATCAGGCCTTGTCTCATACTACATCCTTAAGAGTAGTTATTGCACTAGTATATTTTAATATCACCATCTGAAGGGAAGTTCAGATATGTGTTGGGAAATTTGAAACAAATTTTATAAATATAACCCAAAATTTACCCCACTGGAATTTTACTTAAAAAGAAGAGGGCTTTTATTTTGATACTGGCAAGGTTCCACATTTTTGGAAAACATGTCTACCAGAGTAGTGTTTTCATTTTAGCATGTAAGTCAAGGGCAGCAAGGTTCTCAGATCTCCTTAGGTGGCACCATGCATATGTTTATGGCAGTGTGGTCTCATGAATATGACTAAGACTCAGAGAGCCCTGGATGCTAGGGTGTGCCTTTGGTTTATGCACTAGGTCACCTTGGATGAGTTAGCTGGTCTCTGGACCTGGGTTTCCTACTATACTGTTACAGGTAGCACTGGTTCAGAGCTTGGAGTTATGATGAGGTATAGATGGAGAAGGGCACATTGTAGTGCCTAGCATGTAGTAAGCTCTCAGTAAAGGAAAACTGCTATTTGAACTTTTTCAAATTCAAGCACTCTTTTGGAGTCTCTACTGATTCCCAAGAACCCATTGAAAGAATATGGAGGAAAATGAAAATCTCCAGGCACATTAGAAAATCACTTATCCAATTAGCTCATTCTTTATTTTGTCTCTATTTTCATTGTGTGTTCAGACCTAAGTCCTAGAGGGCTTATTAGGTCTTGCACCACTTAGATCCCCTTTCTAGCCAGGGAAGAGTCTTCATAAACCAAGGAAGTTTCTTTAATATCAAATGGGAAAGCCAAGCAAAGAGGGTTGAACCAAAAGGTTAGTTCTACTTCTTCTAATTTCCATTACAGGCCTTATTAAGTCCAGATTCTTGGTGCCTAAACCTACCCCTTCTGGAACTGCTTTTGGAATTTTCCAAGTACTACCATGAACCAAGAACAGCCTCAGAGCTTGAACATTTAGGTCCCTTGCAACACTGTGATGATAACTTTTATTAGTATGCCAAAAGCCATATTGATTGTCTTTCCCAAATGCTATAATGGGAAAGGACTCTCTTCACAAACCCAAGTTTGACTATCTTGCATGTGTTGACTTGTGTAGAGCATTTCTTACATTTATTGCCTCCCATTTCCTTTTGTATCATGCCTTGGCACACACACTGATGGTTTCTCACTTTTTTTTTTTTTTTTTTGATGATTGCCTCACAGGAGAGAATAATTGAGCGTTTGAAAGAACAGCGGGAGAGAGATGATCGGGAAAGACTAGAAGAGATAGAATCTTTCCGAAAAGAGAACAAAGATCTGAAAGAGAAGGTCAATGCTTTACAAGCTGAACTGACTGAAAAAGAGGTGAGTCTTGGAAGAACAAATGGACCACACTGATAGTCCTATTTATGGGAGCCTCAAGAGACTAGAGAGTGAGCTTGAGGGGCAGTGTGAAGGCTTTCCCCAAAGCCTTTCCTTGGCAAAGCTGAGTTCAAAGGAAAATATTTACTCTAACTCCCCTCATCAGAATGCTCTGTGCTGTCGTCTCTACTCTAATTGCATATGATGCAGCTCCTTGAAAGTTTTCTTGATGTCTTTCACATTTGTGTGGCTTAGAGGATTCTGTATTTTTTCAATGTCCCATGATCTTTTGCTTGGGATAACAACAATATCAATAATAGTAATAACATCGCCACTTCCTGAAGGCCTGTTATATGCTAATAATCCCTTGTGTTGGATGCTTTACATTCATCTGTGTTTCTCAACCAGATCACTCAATACTTCCCGGTTTGAGGATATGGTACCATACAGGACACAAAGTATAGGTTAAATTTGTCTTCTGGAATATTGATTTTACATTATGATAAATAATTTAAAACAATATTTTCATGCTAGAGCAAACACGGATGCAGAATACAAATCCTACGTGCATTTTTAAAGTAAAACTATATACTTTAAAGAAATTTCTTGCTTGGGGGTTATGGAAAGGATGGATTGGGCTATACTCCCCACGATCTGAGAGATACCTATAACTCCTTTAGTTTATTTCGGGATACTTTGATGGAGAAGTTTGAGAAGCAGCAGCGCATATTATTTTGTTCAATCTCCAAAACTCTGAGATACGTGTTATTGTCTACAACTGGCCCCTTCGTACATATTTTTGTCCACAGGAAATGTCCATCTCCTTTAGGCTGTTACAGATTTTTTCCTCCTATTGGGCTGTATCACTGCATTGTTCATTTTCCAGTTCCAGATTATTACCTCAACCCTTGGGTTTTAATTTGTATAGAATAATTCTATACCAATTAAAGCACTGTCTAAATGAGGAATCCAAGAGGGGGAGAATTGATGAATAATAGAAACAAAATGCATATTCCCTAAAATGTAAGCACACTATTTTTTTTTACAGAGGAGATTATTTCTTTGATATGAAACTAAGGAATGTAAATCTTCTTCCTACAATTTTGCTATTAACTCTAACTTGGGGGATCTGTAATTACTGTAGTTGGTATGTGACAGAAGGCATGCTTTGACCTTACTTGCAATTTGAATAACTGATTGCAAGTGTTTTTCATGGATTTGACCTTAAAACCTATCTGTCTGTCTGTCTGTCTATCTATCTATCTATCCATCTACACTTGTAATTGAAATGCGATATTGATGGCATTGTGGAGCATAGCTTTAAATGAAAATAATTTTGTAAACAATGCCTACATTATATGATTTCAGACAGGCATTTCAGCAAACATTTATTGTTCCTGTATAGTAATATGTGTGCTCTGCTGTTGGGATGGGTGTGTCAGTCAAGGTTCTACCGGAAAAACAGAACTATATTAAGAAATGTAACCATATTAAGAAATTTATTGCAAGGAATTGGTTTACATAGGGGGTACTGGCTAGGCAAGTCTGAAGTTCATAGGGTAGGCCATCAGGAAGGGCAGGCTGGAAACACTCCAGACAGGAATGATATAGTAGTCCACAGGTAGATTTCTTCCTTCTCAGGGAAACCTCAGTCCTGCTCTTAAGGCCTTTCAACTGATAGCATCAGGCCCACCCAGATTTGGAGAATAATATCCTTTAAAATCAACTGGTGGTAGGTGTTAGTTACATCTACAAAATACCTCAAGAGCAACACTAGATTAGTATTTGATTGAATAACTGGGGACTATAGCCTAGCTAAGTTGACACATAAAGCTATCAGACCTGGCTAGCTATTTATTTATTTATTTATTTATTTATTTATTTATTTATTCATTTATTTATTTATTTATTTATTTATTTATGTTTCTTTCTTTCTTTCTTTCTTTCTTTCTTTCTTTCTTTCTTTCTTTCTTTCTTTTTTTTGGTATTTTTTTTATTGGAGTTCAATTTGCCAACATACAGCATAACATCCAGTGCTTATCCCGTGAAGTCCCCCCTCAGTGCCCGTCACCCAGTCACCCTGTCCCCCCACCCACCTCCTCTTCCACCACCTCTTGTTTGTTTCCCAGAGTTAGGAGTCTCTCATGTTCTATCACCCTCACTGATATTTCCCACTCATTTTCTCTCGTTTCCCCTTTAATCCCTTTCACTATTTTTTTATATTCCCTGGATGAATGAGACCATATAATGTTTGTCCTCCTCCGATTGACTTACTTCACTCAGCATAATAGCCTCCAGTTCTATCCATGTTGAAGCAAATGGTGGGTATTCATTGTTCCTAATGGCTGAGTAATATTCCATTGTATATGTAGACCACATCTTCTTTATCCATTCATCTTTCAATGGATGCTAAGGCTCCTTCCACAGTTTGGCTATTGTGGACATTGCTGCTATAAACATTGGGGTGCAGGTGTCTCAGTCTTTCATTGCATTTGTGTCTTTGGGGTAAATCCCCAGCAGTGCAGTTGCTGGAGACCTGGCAATTTAAAATGTACAAAGAAAAACAACATATAATTGTTGTCAGCTTATAATTTAGTTGGGGTGATAATCACCTTCGTCATGACAAAAATGCCTGGATTGTAAGGTCCTTTATTATTTCTGTGGGAATGGTATGATAAAGAGCATTGAAACTGGAGTCAGAGTTCTGGGTTTGAGACCTGTATCTTCCTTTAGTAGGTCAGGAACCTTGGAGAAGACAGTTCATGTGAGCCTCAGTTTCTTGACCTGAAAAATTAGAGTGGCTACCCTATCCTTCAGAGGGTTATTAAGAGCTGGGTAGTTTGCTGCGTGATAGTGATGTTATCTTCATCAACAAGGTTATTTCAGGGTCCAGGAAGTAGCCCAGACACATATCAGTTAACATCATCTACTGAGTGGCCACTGTGCTTAGTGTCTTTCTAGGTGCTGCAAATGGATATAAAGGAAACTTAAAAGGTCTGATTTTGGGTATTTTTTTTTAAAGAAATTTTTATTCTTTTATTTATTTATGATAGTCACACAGAGGGAGAGAGAGAGAGGCAGAGACACAGGCAGAGGGAGAAGCAGGCTCCATGCACCGGGAGCCCGATGTGGGATTCGATCCCGGGTCTCCAGGATCGCGCCCTGGGCCAAAGGCAGGTGCCAAACTGCTGCGCCACCCAGGGATCCCTGATTTGGGGTATTATCTGAATATTTTAGTTACATTGTTAGATGTTGCTAATCAGTTCATATTTGATGATAGACATTGCTTTCCTAGCTAAGCAAGATTATGTTTCATGATATATACACAGCTTTAGTTCCTTGTGTTTTGAAATTCAGGCTATCCAGGAGAGCTCTTGGTTTGTGAGCATGATTGGTAAGTGGAACGATTTAGGCAAACCCATGTCTGAGTTGGGAAGATTCATTATATCTGTTGAATTTGGATTTACAAAGTACTGGGATGTAAAATCTACTCTAAATTTTAAAATAACTTTGTCCTTTATTAACTAAATAGAAGAAATAACTAAAATAGAAGATATTTAAAAGATCATTGGTTATTTTTATGTTAAAGACATGGAATTTGATAAAAACTTAACAGGATGCTTCTTTTATACTTGGTTTGCCCTTTGGGGAGAAAGCATTAAAGTCAGTATTTTCTTTCATATTTGTCTTAGAGTCTGCACGACTTGACAGCCATAAATGTAAATGGAAGGTTCAGGGTATCTGTTTTGTCATGACATGTAAAGACCACCTTGGGACTTACATCATTAGCATGACTTTGAGATGTGAAACATGCATTTACTGACCACACTATTTGGTCACATTTGATTCTACTGCAATTAGATCCTGCTCAGTTCTGCAAGCTGGCCAATTTTAATTTCCTGGCCAGAGCCTGCTATTGTTACCTTAGTAAGACTATATTTACCCTTTCTGTCTAATGCATACTTTATTACTATGCAGAGAATCAGTGTATTCAAATTGAAGACAGTAGAAATTGCAGTGTTTTACTTACTAGTGTTCTTTCTTTTCAGTCTAGTTTAATTGACCTCAAGGAACATGCATCTTCATTAGCCTCAGCAGGGCTGAAAAGGGACTCCAAATTAAAATCTCTAGAAATAGCCATTGAACAAAAGAAAGAAGAATGTAGCAAATTGGAAGCACAGTTGAAAAAGGTAAGTGAAGTCCAAGAAAAAAATGCTCATTTTACAATGAATTTATAAAATGGAAAAGGAAGAGATATTTTGCAGAGAAACAAACCCCTTATCTTTTGCTGTCTGCTGATAAGAGAATTAGGCACTCTTAACTTACGAAGTCTGCATCGAATTGGCCAGTGAACCTGAAAAATATCTTAGGTTTCCTGTCTGAAAAAAACTTGCAAAATAGATGAAAATAGTAGTGGAAGTAAAAAAATATAAAAATAAACTGTTATTCTCTGGGTAAATCTCAACTATAAAAAAAACAAATGAAACTGTAACAAATCAAAGAATCCAGAGTCCCATTATATATTGATAAACTTTTACTACTTAAAGACGTAGGTCACTTTTTGTATTGGAACTTTGTAAAAGTTTACCTGACAATACTAAATTTCTAGAAGTCCACCCTAATAGTTGAAGAAGTCCCTAGAATATCTGTGGGATGACTATTTATACTTAACCAAAATATAACCTTAATGTCTTAGAAAGCTTGTTGAATGTAGAAGACTTTGGAAAAGAAAACAGGTCTTTACATTGCAGCATTAACATGTTTTTTTCTGAACTGGACATTTTTGTGGAGTACATTTCCAGTCATGCATCGTTCCTTCGACTTTTTCCCTGTGTTGTTTGGTACGTCTGCACTCATTGTTCACATAAAACTCATAACTTTATGAGTTTAAGCATTTTGTTTCCCTTTGACAACTTATAAACTTATTCAAAAGAGGTGATAAAAATTTAAATAACCAAGCAAAGCATATAATAAAATTTGACTATAATTTATAGCAAACTAGAACGAGGATTTATTTGCTAAAGTTATGAAAATATATGATGTAGATGATAGGGATGTTAAAGCATCATATCTGTGGAGAAATTATTCTGAATATTTAAAAATTGAATATACTATTTTGTAAGAAACAATATATAACTGAAATGTGATCATACTCTGTTCACTTTAACAAGGAATTTTAGGAAATTGTCCTGAGAAATTTCATACCTTTAATGTTTCCTTACTAAAAAAGATAAACATCAAATCCCTCTACAGCAAAACAGCAAGAAAATCTCTGTATTGTAAAATCTACCTTCCCATCCACTCAGCATCTCACTTATTTCAAGCAATCTCTAGTTAAGCAGAAATCTTAAAAAAATAAGTAAAAGAATTTAAATTGCCCATTTGAGGATGCTTAAGTGGCAATTGACTTGGCTATTTACACATTGAGTGTATGATAATACATTCTTGACACATATATGAATGGATTCTGTAATATGTTGTACATGCATGTATGTATCAAGAAATGAACCTAGGAAAGGTACTTTTAATTTAATGAACAATTTTGTGATCACAAGGCAGGCTCTAAAATAATTGAAAGAATTTCATTGACTCGCTTTGCATTAGCTTACCTCAGTTGTATTGTGCTGAATCCTGAAGGAGGATCTCAATTAGACTTGGCCATGAAAGATACCTTCATCAACTCTGTGTAGCCACTTATGTAGCTGAGGTCACCACCTATATTATTTCTGCAGATACATGCTTGACATACTTCCTTTTAGTGTATATCACCTATGAAATTTGCGATCCTCTAGTAATTAGAAGGAAGAGATTCACATATTGACACAGTTTCCATGTATATAACTTGAATAGTTTAATAAGTGAATGTCTATGCATTTCAATTTAATTTCTTTCAGCATAGCTCTGACTTGCCCAAAGAATCACTCAGGGTATGTGTTTTCCTTAAACTCTCAGGTATATATTGTGTGCTAAAATTCACAAAGGAAATCCTGTAAATATTTTAGCATTATTTTCGACAATATTTTAACATTTTGCCACATCACCAGGACTAAAGTAACAAATATGGTTGTCTTGCTGTAAAGGACCTGTTTAATTTTTGAATAGATAACTTATTTCTAAGTATATAAATAATGTGTTGGATTATACTATCTCCTAAGTGAATAGTACAGTGAGATTAAATAAGGTAATTATAATTTAAATATTTTCATACCTAACCTGCAGATGCTATTTTGTTATTTTTGGCTCTCTAGCATCAACGAAATTCAAAAGTTTAAAATACTTTTTCTAGTAGTCTTTAATTTCTGCTAATAAATAGTTCTGTAAAAACCTCAAGTACCCATCACCTTAAAAAGAATTGAGATCTACATGAAATATTTGAAAGTATAAGCCAGTAGTATATGAATATACATATAAACACATCATTTACTCATGGAAAAATAAGCAGCTATAAAAGCTTAAGGAGTGTCTGGGCCTCCTTTTAAATAAAAGGGTATGTGACTTGTGAATAAAATATAAAGGGTTACTAAATGAAAGCTAAAAACATAATAGTTTTATTATGTCATAAATAAACCATGAATTCCCAATGGAATTTTGCTAAGATTTGTGTGCGTCTATGTATTTTTGCCATAAAATGTACACAACATCATAGATGTGTTTAACTGAACAGAAATCTTATTTGCCAGTGATAATGGAATCCAAATTGTGATTTAAATTTATTTTTGTCTTATGAACAATTCTTGACATTGGTAAGGTGAGTTTTTACATAAATGTTTGTGGAGAACATTCACAGGCCTAGTTACTTTTAACCCTTTACTGTTAAGTCGGCAAATTCTTCATTATGAAAAATGGTTACAGGCAGAAAAGGAACTGTTCCTTACACATTACATCTCCCATCTTAACAACAATGCCATCAGATATCCACATGTGAGGAAAGTTTTACTGATACTAGTGAGGTTGATAAAACGATGTAATGCACAACAAGTTATGAGTGTGCTTTACAAATTAGCTCATTCATTAATCTTAAACATCCAAGGGGTTGAGAAGAACCTCTTTAGTGACATGTGGATAATTTTGTCTTTTAAAAGAATATGTGATGTTCAGTGTATAGAAGTAAGTTTACCTTATCTGACTAGGAATCAGTTGAGAAGCAACAAATCAAAATGTTATGATTTGGTAATTTTCCAATTAATATTATCTTTGAGGAGAGTGGGTTTTTTTAACCATGGTAAAATTATCATTTTAGTTCATCAAAGTTGAACAAATGAAAAATTCAGGCTCTTCAAAGGCACATGTCTCAGCTTATAGCAAAGTGAAAGTTCCTATAGTATTTTATCTTCGGCCTCTTGACGTTGACCCCCAAGTGAATGATATAGGTATTTAAGAAATAGCACCTGTGAGTGATATGTAAGATAATAATCACTACATTTAAATCCACAAAAATTTAAATCTTCTATACAAAATAGACTGAAGAGCTTTATAAATTCAAAAGCACTTGGAACATAATAAGATAGTCACGAAAATTACATTTTTATTAATTATGAACTAACAATTGAAGCTGTTAATGGGCAATGGATAATACCGTATTTTGGTTCCCTTATTCTTCTTGCTGACTTAATTTTTTTCTTCTTCTATTAACTGTTAATCCTATAATGTCTTGCTTACTGATATTTTGCTATTGCTAACCTGCTGTTTGCTGATCTATATTTTCCTAAACTTAGATTGAATAGAAACTTCAGGCTTGTGTTAATATAAAAGAAGAGCTATAAATTCAATGATAAGATTTAATTAATCTTTTATTATTACTATCTTTGAAGTTCAGGTAATAAATTGCAGGCTTGGCCAAAAGTACTTCTTCTGATTCATTGCTAGAGGCCGGCACTTCATGTATCATCAAAAGTAGACAGCTTTCTTTATTTCATGGGTTATTTAACTTGAGAAAGGGAAAGTAACACAAACCTTAAATTTCTTATTCCAGCTATTCTTTTTTAGGAGCCAAAGTCAACATTTCTATTTCCCTAGAGCCTCTCACTTTCACTGTGGAATGTTTAGAAACTGAAATTTCTTCTTTTTTAACAACCAGTTCGTCTGTGCAAATGCACTGGATTTGTTGAGCTAATACTGTTTTTCTGGATCTTTCCTTCTTTCCCTGTCTGTGCTTCAATGCCTCCCCAACTTTGCAATGTAGCAAGCTGAGCAGTTGTTCAATCAGATGTACAACCCAGTAAGTCATTTCTGAAAGTTCCCGCTGTAACATATCAAAGCATGAGGATCTATTGATCACATGTCACGGTGTGCCATACATGGGAGATTTCAAAAATATTTATGAGTCTCTTCCCATTTCCTTTCTGTCAAAGGAAATGACCTGTGCAAAGGCCACTGCCATTTCTTTTGAATGTGAAATTTAAAAATGAAGAACTTAAGAAAATATGGCCAGCACTGATATTACCTCCTTCTTAACTTCAACCCTAAGGCTATAGAAAAGTGGAGGTCAGCTGCAGATCTAGGCTCATGGAACTCTTTCTTAGATCCTTTTAACTCAGAATTACCTATGTGAAAAGGGATAGCATTTGTAAAATAGCAAGCAACTCGATGTAAATTACATCCAAATGATAGAAGTTAAAATAGGCTTAGATTTAAAAATAGGGCTATGCTCTTTGAGATTGGTAAATGCCTAACATTATTGTGGGTTTTGTAAGAGTTAAAAACATGTCATTTGGCTGAGGACAAACTAAAATATAGCCTCCTAATAACAGTAACAATTTTGATTATAGCTTAATGGTACACAAAACAGGTAACTAGTAAAAATACATGTAAAATGGCTGGCCCAGATGCCACCACTGATTTTTTTATCCTAATGACAGGTGTGCATTTATATGAAGCAGTTTATTTGTTTCTTTAACTTATTAAAGAAGAAAGACCTTTTTGTTTTGTCAACTCAACTGGCTTAACTGGGTGAAATATTACCTAACGGTGACCAGAATTTGTCATTTGGCAGATGTGATCTGTGCTATCATGCATTCTAATTAGCTCCTATTTATGAATTCCCATCATGGGAAAATGGAATAGCATAGATAAAGGAAGCAATTTAGGCAATAGCTTTTTGTTAAGCTGCTATTCCAGGATACATACAGCATGATACACACTGCTTGGATGTATTTAATTAGATTCAACCTCCACCCTCCATTCTTTAAAA